TTGACAGGGATAGATTAAAGTTTGGCTGATCAGAAGTGCAAGGACACCGACATCCTTGGCAACATTCACACACACACACACACACACAAGTCTCTGAATGCAAATATTTTGTAAACAAGTTCACACAACAGTGTTCAGGATTTTACTTTTCTTCAAACTGCTGGTTGTTTTTTTTTTTTTTTAAATCTCTCTATATCTCATTGATTTCCTACCACCCACCCACTTCCAAACACTACAAACAAATGCCTAATCTTCTTCTATGCTGCCTTTGATTACTCAGATGAACTCAAGGCTTGCAGAGTGCCTCGACTTCTTACTCTCGCACACATACCAGGCACACATGGCTGTCAGGTCGGGTGTCAACATCCCAGGTTCGATCTTGTTCTCCCCCTGATGCCACTTGCTCCTCCATCAGACCTCGTTTACTCACGCATTCTTCTGTCTGGTGAGGGCTGATCTGTCAACCTGCCTCAGTGACCTTGTCGCAAGGCCTCAAAGCTGCATGCTAAGTTTGTCAAGGATAACAACTTCCAAGATACGCACACATATGCAAGCAGACCCGGACAGATTTATGCTTGGAAGAGAATCACAGACATCATTAGAATCTGGATGCAGTGACAGGAGATTTTAATTCAGTTTAAATGTCCGTTCCAGAGCTGGATGTAATTTAGGTTGGCATATTAGATCCTTGTTAATAATTTGTTAAAAATATTTATGTGCTCCCATTGCACCAATGTCATTGACTTGATTTTGGTTGTCCTGCCCAGTCACTTGTATGTGTTTCGGTGTTAACTTTCTAAAGTGCCCAGGTGCACCATGGTCTTTGATGTGGTTTTCCTTGGATTCATTTTCTGTTCACCTTTTGGTGGTTTTATACTGACCTGCAACAATATCTCCTTCACTCTGGTTGTCCGTTCTTTTCGTTGGGGTTGATGAGCTTATTTTTATAATATTAAGCTTGGCAGAAACTTTTCACATCTTAAACTCATGAACTTGTTACAACAGTTGCTTATTTACCATAGACTGTATGTTAAAAGTTGGATGTAGCCATGGCCTTGTCCATTGCTTTGTGGACTACTGAGAACTTGAGGACACTATGCAGGATGATACGGTAGCGACCTGTTGAGTACAAGGTAGCCACTCCTAAAGCATGCCCTTCTTTATTATCTATTTGCTACTAAATAGGACCATAATTTATAAAATGAACATCCTGCCATTTTCAAAATGCCTTCAAACTAGTGATTAAGAGCATAAACTCATTAGGAAAATGTTTACTGAGGTAACACATAAGCTGAGAAGTAGCATAATTTTCTCATAGACTTCTATACAATCTGTCTTCTTTTTGCAACCAGAGAAGTCGCCCTCTGCTGGCTGTAAGAAAGAATGCAGGTTTAAGGTACTGCACACATTTACTATGAACGGTACTACACATAGAGTCTGTTATTTATATATCCATCATTTGTGAAGTTACATTATCATTCCATTGAGTGTGTTTTCTGGGCCCCTGCCAGATATAAATCCAATATTTACTCTATTTTAGCCACATCTTTGCCCTCCACTAACTGCCCAGGGAATTATCCGACTCTTTGTATCTGCTAAACGCTCCAAAAGGGTCGAGCGCTAGAAGCTTATTTAGTCCGACTGCTAGCTGGTGCTCAGCAGGTGAGACTTGTGTGCTTTTTACATCGGGCCTGCTGTGGCTGTAAGCAATGCAATGGCAGCAAAAACTAAGAAGTAATTCTGTAGGCTGGTACCCTTTCACACTGTCACAACGTTTTTGTAGTTTCCTTTAATACACTGTTAAAAATGTAAAGCCCTTTAAAGCTTTTATGAGTAGAATGAGCAAAATATACATTTGTAACCTCCAGGGGTAGAATCAGACATAAAAGCTCGGTACTTTTTTGCAGCACTGTGAGAAGACAAGAGAACTCAGAAATATATGTTGTGCAGTTCAACAAAGGTGAGCAATGAAAGTTGGATTTCTTTAAATAGTTATGTACACCATGTCCCCAGGTGTCACTAATACTGATAAAAAAAAAATGGTGGCTCTCTACGGCTATAGATATGCAACTTTTTTATTATCAGTTTATTCCTGTATTGTTCCCCCTCTGCTCCTGTTTTTCTAAACAAGTCAGCTGACAGTCATGGCTTCTCAGTTGTCCCGAGGACCACAGGATTTATTGTTCTTTTTTGTTTTACAGAATTTGTTGAGTGAAACTGGATTATTTTGGGCGGATTTTTGAAATGGGACATGTAGAATAAAGTGACTTTGGTTCATTTTCCTGATAGAACCTCATGTTACATGTCAAGGAAAGCTAAAATACATCGAATTTTTCTGATTTTACTGTTCCTGGTTTTCAGAAATTGTGTCATTTTAGTTTTTTGTTTTTAAAAAAGATAACCTGCCAAAGGTTTTGAAGCTCAGAAGGTTAACATTTACAAAGTAATGAATGCTTTATCTGTAGTTTCTTTAGTCTGTCGTTCTTGAATCTACAGATACTTTATTGCCTTTTATTGAACTGAATCAACAGTAATGAAACATGTCTGTTATAGCATTACTTGGAAACCTGTGAAACTTAATGACTCAAATGGTTTTAGAAAAAAATGAAGTGTGGATATATTTCATAGAGGCGTGGGAGATGATGTATAATTAACAAGGTGATAATTGCCAACACGCCCACACAACGGCAAACACCGAATGCTGTTAATGTAGCACGTACATTCTCAATTTGTTTTATATGACAAATGACCCATGTTCTGGGCCACACACACACACACACACACACACACACATACACACAAGCATAAACGTGTATGTACACACACATTCAGACATTGTGATTTTGTATAACTGACTTTTATATTTGACTGCTTAAGCTGTGTTTTTGTCATCTTAGTGAGAGATGTTGTTTGTGTATCATTTTGAAGCGATGGTGAAATACAAAGAAAACGCTGATGCACAGGAATTATTCGCATTATACACTCAGAAAGTCTCTTCGCCTTCATCCTTGCATGTGCGTCGGTCCCTGAGCTTTTTCCCCCATCGTCCCATGCCTCATAAAACGAGTTGTATTCCATCAGAGGCGGCTCGCACAACAAGCCTATTCCCTAATTGGTGCTTGAGCTTTTAAATTGCCTGTGTTTGCTCACATCCAAACAGTGTCCTTTCTCACTGCTCTCTCGTTTCCTTTGCGAGTGAAATCCCACTCTGTCTGAGACAAAGTAATATTTAATGGGGAGGAATTGTTTCACATATTTAGACAGCACAACATTTCAATTCAACAAACTTTTGTGGTAATCTGTGTAAACGTCTGTTACTGCAATATTTTTGCAAAAAAATAAAATTTTAATATATTAGGACTGTCACTTCTTGGACAGTGTGGTGTTTGTGCTCATCATTAGTACATAAAGTATGGAAACTTGTTCCCTTAAATCTATAATGAGCAAATTTTCACCTTGAGGCAATAAGTTAGTTGGTCCTGCTTTCACAACATGCTAGTTTCTTTTTACTGTCAAATCTCTTGTGTGCGTCCCACAAGGTTCTATCCTGGGTCCTGATGTTTTTTCTGATGTAAAGCATACAAATTTGCAGCATTAAGGATTGTCTTAGGGGCCTGAAATTGTTTATAGTACATTTTTGTCTTGCTTAACAAAAACCAAAGTTTGATCTGATAATTAGTCTCTACAGTTACAGAATCGTGATACTTTAGTCTGCATTGTCTAAGTGTTACTGCAAGGTTTTCAAATGCCCCAGAAAGAGATTATACCTGTCCCCATTCAGCCTCACGACTGGATTTCACTGAATTTTTACTAGATTTTAAGGTTCTGTAATTTGCCTCAGGGGACTAGAATATGCAGATCTGTGTGTTCTCAGGTCAGTGGGCTCCTAGGCATTATACACTGACGTTTGAGACCACGGTTGATAGTGTGTTTTTGGAATCAAGTGTTCTCATTGGGGAAATTCAGTGTCAACTAAGTACAAATATGACAAACAAGAAAAAAAAGTATTAGAGGAACATCAGATTTGTGCAGAGTGATGAGAAGACTTTAACCTTGGGAAACATTATTTCACTTTTTTTATTTTATTTCCAATTTTGTGGAAATGTGCTGAACGTTCACACTTCAATTGGATGGAAACATGACTTATGTTGTGGTCAGGCATCATAAACCTGATCCTTCACAAACATATTGTGTCTCAAACAGCCTCTGTGCAGATAGTGTGCAGGAGTCTGACATTTCCTTTTATATGATTTATTGTTTTCCTACAAATAGAAGTGTTGAAGAAGAACAGTGTTCCATTCTAAATTTCTGCTATGCCGTATTGATATTGTCAGAAAAAGTAAAAGCAGACCCCGGTTTTATCTCTCTGGTTCATACCATATCTTTCTCTGCTGATGTTGTTTGAGAAGTTTTGTCAAACTCAATAACCTGAGCCGAGGAAAAGAAAGTCAATAAAGCCTATAACAGCAACAGTCACATTAATGCGATGTAAACATTTCATTGTTCAGCACAGATATAATCATTCTTGCTGTTCGTCTTCTTTGCTGGAGGAAACACACAGCTCTTGTAGCTGGAGCTGTGGCCCAAATATTTACACTCCTGTTCATGTATTCTGCCTGTGATGCAGAAAAGCTAAAAAGTCTCCAGAAGGGAGATATGGGAATGTGGGAACACTTAATGCTTTGTAGTTTTGCCATGCTGCTGCAGGAGAAAAAAATATTCTCTCAGTTCAGCTTTTTTTCCCCCATTCCCTTACTCCCTTATCTCACGATGAGAAACATGTGACCTCAACATGCATCCAGTACTAGTATATATACTGTATATATGCTTATGTTCAATAATAATGATATGAATAAAATAAGATCTTTGTTTTTTGCAGTTACATTTCAATACCTTTTATTAATGTGTTATTATTTTGTGAATTTCGCAAAGAGCTCTGTAAACTCTTGTGTGATTACATAGCAGTTAATCAATCACTCATTTCCCTTCTGTGAATCCAGGTAACTCACCTTCAGAGGAGTCCGAGGAGCGCGACAAGGAGCCCAGGACGCTGACCTACCCTGCATACATCGCCAGTCTTCTAGACACAGGCGCCAAACGCATGGCGGCCGGCGTTCGCATGGACTGCAGCAGCCAGGGCCAGTGCCCTCGCTCCTGCCACCTCTGCCACATGAGCCCGAGGGCGGCACAAGGGCGCCAGCAGTCCGAGCCCGTCCTGCTGCAGATCACCAAGGCCGCGCCCATCTACGAATTGGTATCCAACAACGAGACCTACCAGGTGTGTACGACGGTGTTTTTGTGTGTTTGTCCTCATGTCTGAAAACACCAATGTCTTGCGGCGTCCATTATATCATTTTTCCATTATACCCTCTAAATTGGTGGCTGCATCCTCTCTCATCTTCCTGAAATGGATTATCACACTTAGTCTTCCTGCGTATGATTAAAGAACACGTTTATTGTCCGAAGCCCTTCGCATCCTTTGTTCAGTAAAATTAAAGTATTTTCACTTTGATGTGGAAAAACTTTTCCACCATTTTCGCAATCCAACGCTAACGTTGTGCATGAGGACTGCATCTAATAATACTAAACTGCATCCAGGCATGGCTGTGTGATCATCACAACACAGTCAGTCTGTTAGCTGGCATCCTGCAATGAAGCCTTCAATGTGTTTGTGACAGTCTGAGGATGATCCATCAGGCCTGACAGCCGCATGGCCTCATTATGAAACAGGGTCGTGGAAACAGAGAACTTTATGAGGGAAGTCTTTCTCTTGTACGCTATCACGCCTTTCTCTGCTGGAAGCACGCTGTGCCATAAACTGCCGTACCGTGCTGCGACTTGTCTGACTCCATCAATACTGTAATGTCAATTCTGCTGCTACTCCTCCACCAGGAAGAAAGGGTCGATACAGTGCTGTCCACCCTCCTGGGGTGTCAGTCTTTCATCCTCAAGCTCAGTCAGACAGATGCAGCTGTTGTTATTGACAGAGGTCGCTGGTGCAGTCACTCATGTAGGCCTTGCACTCACCAGTATCTCTTGTAGTACCTACTGTACTATAATGTGTCCGTGCCCGATATGGACCATCGTCCTCAAATGTATTCATACCCTTCCATTAAAGAAAAAGCAAAATTCACAATAGTCACTCAAATAACTGGAAACTGAAAAAAGTAATAATAAATAAAAAATTGCAAAATTATAATTTAGTGACATAAGACATTGCTTTTGAATTGTGGTTGAAAGGAATAATCAAAGAAAAAACAAAAAGTCCCTGCACTTTGCTGATGAGCAGTGGGCCAAAATCAAAACATGTGTCAACAGGTGCAGAAGTCTGATTGAGAGTTACAGAAAACACTTGATGGCAGTGATTGGCTTAAAGGGTTGTTCAACAAGATATTAGTTCAGGGGTCCCATCATGCTTGTTTGCTTGTTTTTTTGGGGGGTTTTTTTCCCCCAAATATTTCTGTTGAACCACGAATCAAAAGCAATGCCATGATTTTCATTCAATTTTTATTTATTCTTTCTTTTATTAATTTCAACTTACTTAAGTGAAATCTGATTTTTTTTTCTTCTTTAAAGGGAGGATATGAATACATTTAAGGTCGACTGTATCTACTGTAAATATATGGTGAACAGTTTGATTTAATACAGATACAGGATTTGATACTTTGCAAAAATGCAGATACAGTTCAAGCTTAATGCTATTAACTGGGGTATCCATAGGCACCAGAGATATTCTTTTCGTCATATGTAGTGGGGTGCACTGGGGTGGGAAGAGACCCGAGGTAGAAGCATCAAATGTGTTCTGTGCATTTTTAATAGATTGATCAATTTATTGAGTTCATGTTTGCCACAGGTCCTAATTTAAAGTATCACACACTGTCATTGTGAGATTATGCTCTATTATACAAGATAAGACTGAAGTAGTGTATAAGGCTGACATGCAGTCAGAGCATGATCAGGACATGCAGTGTGTGGGAGAAAAAGCATGACACTTTTTGAGGCTACAGAAGGAGGAGGTGAGCAGAACCAGTGTGCAACAGAAGGGTTTGAGGTGGTTTGCTCTGTTTATCAGAACCCCGACATGTGTTTGGCAGTTACAAATCTAGATAGTAGCAGATATAATGTTGTTCTGAATGACACCAGCAACAACAATGGTAAGCAGATTAAGTTTGACCAAATTTTAGAAAGCATAACTTAATGTTTACTTAGGATTCCTGAAATGTGAACGATCGCACAATCAAAGGAGGGTATAAAAGCTATTGAGTACTAATGTGGATTGTGCTTGGAAGTATATGTTTTCATTTCTCACAATATTCAAATAAACTCTAATTATTAACAATGTATCTTTGAAATCATGTTAATCCCATAACTAATACTGTTTTGAGAGGAAATAAGTTAACATTTGATATTACGGGTGTTTCTTACAGTAGCTGTGGTTGGTAGTCATTGCATTGCGGACATCTGATGAGACATACTGCATGACTTTGACTACACATGATCAAGTCTTGCACCTAAATGATCAATGCAGATTTTGTGTAGTGAAAACTTGTCATATGTAATGGCAAGTTAAAAAAAAAATAAAAAAAGTCACATGGTACTCTGATGGCTCTGATTGGTTAAGGTGCCAAGTTTAAACCCAAATATTCCCATCTGGTAAGGTCACAACATATGTCATCTCACAGTGCTTAACATAGCGAGGTAAAGACCTCATGAATTTAAACAGAGAACCTAACGATCCAAAGATGCCTTTGGACTCCATCTGAGCAAGTAGTTGGCAACAGTGGGAAGGAACCCAAAAAAATTAAACTCTAATAGGGAGGGGGGAGAAAACCAGGTTCAGGGAAGGCGGCCATCTGCCTAGACCGGTTGGGGTGAGAGTGGGGATGGTGGGGTGGGGATAGCAGGATAGCAGGTAGAGAGCAAGCAATAAAAACAGAACAACAAATATTTTGGAGGTCAGTGAGGCCAGCGACTGCAGATCAGAAATGTGAAGCTCCAGATCCAGAGACATCCGCAGAGAGAACAAACAGAAGTCAGTGATATGTAATGGGATTATGTAAGAAAGTAGAGTATCTCTCTCCACAGATTCCTGTCATCTCTGCACTTTTATCTTTCTAATAAACATAAAATGTGCCAAAAATCTGAAAAGATAAAATGTTGAGCTTAATTGAAAGGTAGAATAGTTTAAGAATTCAAATAAAAAATTGCAGGTTTTCACATCCATTTCTCTCCTCTCTTGCTATGTCTCTTCATAGGCTCTTCAGGAGGCGATGATGAGCATGCTGTGGTGCTCAGGCAAAGGCGATGTTATCGATGACTGGTGTCGATGTGATTCCAGCGCTTTTGGCACGGACGGACTGCCCACCTGCGCCCCACTCCCTCAGCCGATGTTAGTAAAATAATATTACCTTCTCCGAGTTCAGCCCCCTCAGATGGATTACGATAAATACCATCCATCATTTTTCTGGCAGAAATCTATCTCCTGCTACAGTGGTCCAGTAATACACTATCAGGATCCATGCGTACGCTGCATTTTATTGCCACACTACAGCAGTCAATGGTTTATTTCTGCTGTCCACTTTGGGTGCGCTAATCAATTAAATGAGCTGCTGTGTATTGATTGGTTGGCATAAAAATCTCTGTACACAGGCTTCTCGATGCTACATAGCTGTAGAGTCGGTCAGACATCGGGGGATAAATGACCATATTTTCTGTTGACAGAAGTGTTTGTGGCTTTACAGAATATGTTTTCATTGGATTGCAGTTTTGCGGAACACGGAGGATAATGTTAGCTGTCAATTACAGTAATGAGCCCCGTTTGCTGACAACATCTTTCACACGTCGCTCTGTTTTTTTTTTACATCTCTTTCGCTCTGTTGTCAGGCTGAAACTGTCTTTCACCTACGAGCCCAGCAGCTCATTGGTCATCATGGAGTGGAACCACACCGAGCCGCCAATCGGTGTCAGGATTGTTGATTATCTCATCAGCCAGGAGAAGGTGACAGAGAGGACCGATCACTCTAAAGTTGAGACAGGTACGTCAGTCCAGAGCCGCCTGCATCAAGAGTCTGGTCTCTGATAATAAACACATCCAAACAGTTGGGAATTTGTCAAATACAGTATTAATGTTGCCAGGCAACCAGTGATCGTAAAAACCTTCAGGTCCCATGCAAATATTTATTCTCGTCTTCCTAGATATGCTCTTATGGATACAAAGCTTTCCCATCCACCTGCCGGCACTCGCAGGTGGATTAGTGCACTCCACTCCTTGCAAACATAACTTAAACCTTGTGTTTCCAACAGTCACTGAACCGCCAAGAGGCTCTGGTAATATTTTGGACATAAACCACTCTGAGATGGGTAATGAGTAAGTCAGTTGGCCTCGGTTTGTATGGGCAGCTGTTGGACAGTGTTCATTATTTTTGCTGGCTCAAAGCATAAGTGCGCCAATTTGTCAGCACCATGTGTCCAAAACAACCTAATTGGTTTAATGTTGTCCACCACCTGGAGGAGATCTCGGTCCAGAGGTGTAAAATAAGGGATTTCATCAAACTGTAAAGCCCTTTGCAGACAGGGGTTGTAAAACACTGCTGGCATCATCAATCCGTTAAAGTGATAGCATTCTTCAGATTCTTCAGCATCATGATGCACGAATAAACAAGAGACTATTTATAAACTACGAGAAAGTTCATCAGACTGTCCACACAATGGATGGCCTCGTTTATTCATGACTTCGTAATCAATTAAAATTCCATCCATTTGTGATGATCAAACCATTACTTTGCCAACAGAAAAATACAAATATCTGTGGTGGAGTCAGGACTCTGTATGTAACAAATGATTTGACTGCAGCTCATAAACTGTGACTCCGTGTGTGACAGCTCATCTGTCCGAGGTAAAGGAAAGTATACAATGTGATTTACTGATAAATCCTAATTAATCCGGTCTCCATGTCAGGAAATGTACATTTAGAACTAAATAATTAGGTTACCACTGTGCATAACACATGTGCATAAATGCATCCAGAGTTGCTCATATGGATCCTGCTGCCGTCTGATGCTGCAGGTATTTAATAAACTCCAAGGAATAATGCCTACAAACAGCTGGAAGCAACAAACTAAACTTTAGCTACTGTTCATGTTTGGTCAAAATCTGGATTGCGTTAATTACGGTTGAGTGCCATTGATCTGACCGATTCTTCACTAGAATATAGTTTTATCTTTATGGATGTTGGTTGGCATTGGTTGGTTATGGATGATTCAGTTTGTAGTCAATGTGCAACGTGCAAAGTAAATGACTAAGATGTTTATTGATTTTGGCGATCAAACTGTGTCTTTGGCTCTCGCTGATGTTTCAAACCAATATTGGCGGTGAAATGTGGAAAAAGCCTTTCAGAAGTCTCACACTTGTGCGTACCTATCTGTTAATGCCAAGGCAAGCAGTTCACACTTGTGCTGTGTTGGAAGTGATACGAAAATGTCACTAGACTAGTGACAAAAGACTAAGGATTTGGCTTTCATGGAGAAAGGACCATTTTGGCAGGAAGCTGAAAGTTTCAGATATCTTCAGATTACAAAAAGGAGTGTGCTTGCAAACTTCACACCAAAAGGCAACATGGTGTCAACTCACAATATCACTGTTGCCATTAAAAAAAAGCTTTAAAGTGCAAATTTGTTGAATTTTCATGGTTTAAAGTAGTAGTGTCATCTACAGGTTTGGAAAACATCCAACAACCAATAACTAAATAATAAATCAACTTCAAAATACCTGATTCAAAACATGAAGAACGACTTTTGCAGAGTTTTTACAGTAAGCATCAATAATATAAAGACACATTGTCCCGCTGTGCCTTCTGTCTGTGTCCAGGATTAAACATCACTGTGTTTGATCTGATGAACTGCACACGTTGTATTTTTTAAGGCCACCACTAGATGTCATACAACAGTAATAGTAATGGACAACTTCAGTATTTATAACCGGTTTGTTCATCGGTCTGATTTCATTCTCTGAGTGTCTGCAAAGGGACTTTTTTTTTTTTTTTTATGAAATAGCTGCTGCAGCTGAGGCAATTTCTGTAATTGCTTTCAGAGTGGCTCCAAAAAGTCTTGAGATTTGTTATAATGCTAACAACAAATTAGCCAGATGACAGCATGACAAAGCTGTTAAAGTGTGAGTCTTTTCAAGCAAATGCCATCGTATGAATGCAGATATGAGATAAGACTCTAAACAAACATGCTTAAGACCTCACAGTAAAAGTAATTCCTCCGTTTACCCAGCAGCTTTTATCAGTTATTTAACGTGTTTCTGGTTTTTCACAGTTTAATCCATACAGATTCAGTGATTTACCTGCTTTCCCTCATGTTTCCACTGAAAGGAAGACGCAGCCACAGGAGCAGCAGCTCTGTCGTCCATGACGGAGAGCCCAGCTTATTTGGCTCTCTGTGAGTGGAAGCTGGCAAAACAGGGGCAGTTTATTTTAGCAGTAATGACCCAATCCATAATGGCGACTGTTATAGTTCTCCGTGAGTACCAAAGTTTGTTGTAGCTTAATGAGAGAATAAACTGTATTTGTCAGAACAGTGAGGATCATTAATCAATACAGTGGGTTCAGGAGGGAGAGCAGAGCAGGAGAGCAGTTTCTTTATTAGTGGCATTACGGTGAACGGGAGCTATAGGTTCAGCACTAATGGTTCATCGTAGCCGTAAGAGAATGTATTTACTTTTTAAAAAAAAAAAAAGCTGTACCATTAGTTAATCCATTTATTTATGTGAGTCTGTATTTCAAGTCTTCCGCTGCAGACTGAAAAATGCTTTCCATCCATTTATCTCAATTAGAAAGGACGAAATATACAAGAGCATCAGCCAACTGTGTGCACTCTCTATACATTATAATTACAGGAGGGAGAGGTGCTTGTCTCTCACTCTCCTGCTCTTTTGTATTGCCAGTGCACACTGCAGCATATTTTCCAAGATTCTTGAATCATTATGAGCCCTGATCACATTCTTTTTTTCTGCGCTCCACGGTATCTTTAGAACATTCTTCATGGTGCAGCTGTGTTTTGCTCGTTAAGCTCCGACGTTTAAGATCCCGCCTGGATCAATAAACAATGTTTATGATATTAGCAAGCAGAATTTGCTGCAATAATTGCATGATGTGGAGAATATTTTTATCTATTGTATGTTAAACCACAACCCACACTATTGACATTACAAGATGAGATTAGATGAGAAGAACGGCAGCACTTGTGTGTCTCTGGAGCAGCTGTGTTGCACAGAACATGAACGTCAGTGGGGAAAAAAAATAGTGGCTCTACATACGACAGATATTTCACTACCTACATTTTTACAACCTCCCCGAGCTCAGCGTTTTTCGCACGACTCTGCACATCAACTGTAGAAACATATTTCACCATGCAGAATGTATCCTCCAAACACTTGCTCCACTGTATACCATTTGTGAGGCAATGCTGCATGTATTTTATTGCTCAAGTGGGTTTTATTTCCTCTGAGTCGCTCTAATTAGTTTCAATCCTTGTCTCCTCACTGCTGTGTAAACACAGCCTGCAGTTCAGCTGAACAGTGCTTCAACTTTTTATCCTACCCGAGTCATGAGTGTCCTACAAGCTGCACCAAGAAGTGCAGATTTTTTATGTTGTTTTTTTTTTTCCACACTTATTTTTGATGAAATCTTAAACAACACGTGTAGAATAAAGGGATTTTTTCATCAAATATAATGATTGAAAGATTTGATTTGGGTGATTTTTCTGCAGGAGCTGCATGTCACGCATGCGTAGCTGCAAGCACCACTGGAAAGTTGATCATCTTTGTTTAATGACTCTAATAAATTGTGCAATTTTGGCCATTTAAAAAAATAATATGCCTTTCAAACCCGCTGGCAGGTTCTGGAATTAAGAGGGGTAATGCAGTCTGATGTGAACCCTATTAATGTACCATAGTAGGCTTAACTGTGCCAAGCAGATTGTAAGCAGGAGTGCCTCATGCGGGTGTATATTAAATGCAGCAGAAGTGTGGCATAAACACACTGGTTGGGACATTTTTAGTGCTTTAACTGTATTGCCAAAATTATGTGGAACCTCTATCCACATGTTAGACTGCTGTATAAACTGGTTCGAGCAGGTTATAAGATGTTGTAAAAACCTTCCCAGAATGGAGGCTGTTGTAGCTGCAAATTAATACCCAAGTTAACAGAATGAGACCAGGGAGATAAAGTAGAATGTTTGTTTCTGTGTCAACATATTATTAACTAAAAATGTGTATTCACACTAGCAGACACAACCCAATGGATAGAAAATAATATGGTTAGTGAGATGGATACATTACAGGTGTTAAAGGCATGTTATCTATTTTTTTTTAAACTGTCAAAATGACACCATTTATCAGAGCCATAAACTGAAAATTAACCAAATATAAATCATCAAAATCACCCATTTGCTTTATTCAGAGTCTGTAAATGACAAAACATTCTTTGCCGAGAAGCCGTGAGTGACTCAGCTGCGTGCCAAAAAGCGCCAGAAATTCAGGGACTTTTCAGTTCAATTGTCGGCTGTGTTTACGCTTAGCAACAAGGAGACAGTTGCAGAAAGAAATTAGAGAGACCGAGAGGAAAATAAAGCATTCTTGATCAATAAAACAAATGCTGCGTGGTTAGAAAATGCAGACAGAAGAGCAAGTTGACAGCAAGTCGTTGAAAGATACATTCAGCACGATGAGAAATCTTTGTAGAGTCGATGTACTGAGTAGTTTGAAAAACTCCTGGTTTGCAGACGTTGTAAAAATGTAAGTTTTAAGATACCTAAAGTATGTAGAGCCAACTTTTTTCCAAGTTTTGTGAATACCTTGTTGACTCTACATGTTGATTCCAGGTTTTATTTTGCAGAGAAAAAATAACCTCACAGTGAGTACAAATGTGACAGAAACAAAAAAAAACAAAACAGCCAAACACTGCTTGGAGGTCTGAGGGTTAAATGCAGCACCACAAGCAAACAAGTTTATTTATATATCACCTTACACACAG